CCGGAATGGCCATACCACAATCTCTTCTCCTCCATTCTCCTCCTGGGATCTTGGGCACACACGCACATGTGCCCGGCATGACTTTCTTTTTCTTTTTTTTTAACCTGCATAATTTTCAAGCCACCAGGTCTGGGACTTAAACCATGGTTAGCCACGTGGGAGTCCATGACGTAACTATTATGCCATTTGCTGGCTCTGGGGAAGCTTTCAGTCTTAACTCTGAGTAAAACAAGGGGCCGCTGAGGCTTTTGAGCAGAAGGGTGACATGATCTGACTTATGTTCCAGTGGGGTGGCTCTGGCTGCTGTGTTGAGAATAGATGGATGGGGGCATGTCAAGAGGGAAAGCAGGGAGACCAGGTAAAGTCTATTTCTATAATCCAGGAGAGAGACCAGGTAAAGTCTATTTCTGTAATCCAGGAGAGAGTTGTTAACGGCTGGACCAGGCTGTGGCCGAGAAGGGGGGAGAGATGACTAGATTTCTGTCAGATTTCAAAGAAAGAGCACCAGGACATGCTGATGGTTTGTGTGAAGAGTGAAAGAGTGAAAGGTCAGGATGCCATGAAGGCATTGACCTGAGTGACGGGACGCTCCAGTTGCCATTTCCCACTCAGGGGAGAGCTGTGGGTGCAGCAGGGTGTGGGGTGCGGGGGGGGGACGCTCCAGTTGCCATTTCCCACTCAGGGGGGAGCTGTGGGTGCAGCAGGGTGTGGGGTGGGGGGAGACAAGGAGGAAGAGTTCAGTGTGGATGTGCCAGGACTTGATGTCTGTTAGATATCCGAGTTGAGAGACCAAGTAAGCAGTAATGGATACAAGTCTAGAATCTAGAGGAAAGTTCAGGCTGGAGGTACAAATGTGGGGTCCTTGTTGTCTAAGGTTAATTAAAACCAGGAGACCATTGAGGGTGTGAGTGTAGACAGAGAAGAGAAAGGGTCGTAAGACTGAGCCCTGAGACTTTTGATTTTATGAGGTAGAATGGTAGAACCAGCAATGGTAGAATGTAGAACCAGCAAAGGAGACAATGAGAGAGACAGGCTGAGTGAAGGAGGAAGCCAGGCTGGGCATCCGAGACACTGGGAGAAGAGCTGTTTCTAGAAGGAGAGAGAATCCACAGGGCCCAGTGCTGCTGGTGTGTCCTGTCAAGCCAGGCAAGGACTATGGTATGAGGACTATGGCATGACCACTGGATTTAGCAACATGTTGAACATTGCAATTTGACAACAGCAGTTCTGAGGCCAGTGAGGCTGGGGTGGGCCCTCTGGACATTTAGGATCTCCCTCCAGATGAAATGAGAATCTGTATGTGTTCATGCCCTGCACATGGGAGGTATACTGGGGAACCTGGGGGCGGAAGCTCTAGAAATGGCACAGAAGGTTGGAGTATCCAAGTAAACCCTGGGGATGCCCCCAAATCCCAGCATCCTGTCCAGATCCCTGGAGGAGCAGATGCCTTGCTGGAGCCATCCATTCCCACCACCTCTCTAGACCCTGTTCTCCTGTCAGCAGATGAGCCCACGTCCCCCAAGAAGCCGAAGAGTGTCCCTGAGCCAGAGTGCAGTGACTTGGAAGGTGGAGCTGCCTCTCCCCTGCCCTCCGAGTGGACCTCAGTGCGGATCAGCCCCGGGGAGGATGTGGCTGGGCAGGACATGCTGGCTATGTGTGTCCTGGTCACCATCGAGGACAGCAGGTAAGCTCAGGTGGCTGAGATGGGGCAGAGTGGGGGTCAAGGCGAGGGAGAGGGGAGCATTCAGGGTCTGTTCTCTCCTCTTTCTGTGTCTCTGTTCTCTCATCTGTAGAAGGGGAGTGATCATAGTATCTGTCACAGAGGGAGTTGTAAGGTTTGAAGAATTAATGTGAGGGGTCTTCAAAAAGCTCATGGAACTCTGTATCATGGAAACACCATGCTTGGATTTCAAATTTTTCGGTACCAAAATAAACTCATACTTAATTCCATTTCTGGAGTTTCATTCCCAGGAGGCAGCTGTCATCCAGAAGGCTGTCATCTATCACAGGGGCGCTCCCACTGTAAGATGGTGAGGCACCACGATGGGAGGCCATGATGGGCAGGAAGGAAAGTGAGCAGTGAAGCTCTGGTTCTTGGGTAATTGTTTCTCAGAGTGCCGTCCTCACTGCCTGCCTCAGCACTGGAGAGGTCATTCAGAAGGCAGGCTCCAGGCCCCCCAGTGCTTTGAGTTGGTCCAGGAAATCAAGCAACAGGAACCAATTGCTTGCTATTCATTAGACTCTGAGGACACAGCAGTGACCAGTACAAGTCCTTGCTCTCACGTAGCTTCCATCAAACTGGGTAGATAGCCAATAAACAAGGATGTCATTAACAAGAAAAACATCATGTATGTGCCAGGGCACATGACAGAGAATGTCTGGTCAGCTACCTTAGATGGGGTGGCCAGGAAAAGCCTCTGTATGAGTTATCAATTCCCAGAGTAATGCTGAGTAACAAACCAGCCCTGAAGTGAGTGACTTCAACCAACACCACTCATCACACTCATGATCGTGTGGGCCACCAGTTAAGCCAGGCTCAAATGGGCAGTTCTGGTCTTGAGGGGGTTCATTTGTATTCTATATGCAGTGTTCTGCCTCTGGAGAAGTAGCTTTTAAGCCATGGGTCCGTCTTCCTCCAAACTTGGCAGCCCAGGCTTGTTCACATCCCCCTAGAAGAAAGAGGGAGCTGGGTGAGGTCTGCTGAAGCCCAGGCTTGACTGTTCTCATCATATCTGATTGGCCACTGCAAGTCACACGACCTGCCCAGATTCAAGGAGTAAGAGGAACTGCAAAATCCCATTGCAAAGGGGTGTGGTCTAAGGAGAATGAGTACAACCATTTTTGTCAACAGTCTGTCACAGCCTATCTGAGGAGATCATATTCATGCTGAGAACTGGTTGACAAGAAAAGTACACAGGCCCTTATATAAAAATGAGCTTGATGTCTCAGAGATCACAAAAGGTCAGTGTAGCTGGCATCCTTTATGGGAGAGGGGGAGGAGGAAGAAAAAAGATTACAACAGAGGGCCAGCAGGTGATGTGGTGATTAAGGCACTGGACTCCCACATGGTCAACTGTGGTTCAAGTCCCAGAACTGGCAACTTGCTTTCTCTCTCACTCTCTCTCTCTCTCTCTCATCTCTAGTGAGCATACATGCCCTATAGAAAAATTTGAAATAATAAATAATAACTAAATAAATAATCCATAAAAAAAAAAGATTGCACCAGAAAGGAAGGCAGGAGTGAGGCTTAGTAAGACAGTGAGGAGTCAAATTTTATTCTACGTGTAAATAATAGAGATATTTTAGCTCCAAGAGTGATGTCTCATTGAAGATTTTCAATGCTCAGTGGCCTTGGTATGGAGGATGAACAGGGCAGTAGTGAGTAAGAGTAAAGGCCTTAGAGAAGGTGGGAGTGCAATTCGCTGACAGACTGAAATTCGCTGACAGACTGAATGTGAGGAAAAGAGACCTCAGAGGCTAGTCCCAGATTTTGACTTGAATAGCAATGGTGCAGTTATTTCTAGGATTTTCTTGAGGTGCAGAAAAGTTCAGAGAAGGTGCAGGTTTGTGGAGAAAATCAAGTATTCTCTTTTGAACCTGTTGCATTTAAGAGGCCTATGTCTTTGTGGGCCAGCCCTGTAGCCTTGGTTAAGGGAGCTAGATCCCACATGGCTGACTTGGTTAGAATCCCAGTCCTAATCACTTGAAAAACTCTCTGGGTAAATGCGTGTATGCCTCAAATCTCGGCAAGATGAAGGAGCACGACTACTCCCAATTAGGTAGTGCATTCTCTCCCTCTTTGTCTCTCTCTCTGTCTCTTTCTGGTGAGTCCCTCTGACAGTTAAAAAAACAAAACAAAACAAAAAACGATGTTGTGTCTTTGTGCAGATACCAAGTCATCAGTTGACATGTAGGTCTGGAGTCTCTGGGAGGCAGGGGGAGATGGTGGTGAGTTATGAGTTGAGGGGCCACTAAAGTGAAGAGATCTGATGAGTCACTTAGAGTGTAAGAATATTTTCCTATAGACAATAAAGAGCTGGGTCCTAAGAAGAGCCCCAGGAGATCTGAACATTCAGCGGGCAAGCAGAGAAGGAGCTAGCAAAACCCACGGGGAGGAGAGACACCAAGAGAAGGCAGGCTGTGGAAGCCAAGAGAAGAAAGTGTTCAAGGAGGGTGTGGTTCGCTGTGTCAGAGGTGCTGGACACTCCAGCAGATAAGAGTGTAGAGAAGTGGCCTTTGGACTTTGCAACAGGAGGACAATTGTTAGCTCGGCAAACATGATGTCCGTGGGGTGATGGGGGCAGAAACCTGATTGGAGAAGGCGTGGGGAGAACGTGAGGGAGACTATGGTTGTTGAGCACTGGCTTTTTGAGTCTTCCTCATTCTGACACTAGCCTAGGGCCTGGGGAATGTGCATTTTTGGCAAATCCCACAAATGATTCTGATACACACAGCTGTGTGAGAGCCTCCGTCTTGGAATGCCTTCTATAGTCACTGAGCTGGAAGTCCAGGACCCAGAAGAAGACACCTGCCCTAGGTCACACAGCCTTCAAGCCTCCTAGGCCTTGTTAGGCAGGACTGTTTCCATAGTAAGAGACTGAACCCACCCAAACCAGCTTCAGTAATAATTCAGATGCATTGATTTGTCTGGGCTGTTGGTCCTGGCTCCTGTGAGGTCAGGCCAGACCTCTCTGCATGTGGGTTTGCAGCAATCCACAGGGACTGTCTCCTTGTGCAGGTCTCTGGCTACTGAGGGCCTCAGCCCATGGCCATAAATTCACATCCATAGGTTGAGACCTCAAGGTAGGCCTCCAGCTAGTACTACCCACATCACATACCCCTCTGGGGCCAATCAGTGGACAGGACTGGGTGCCATGGCAAGCCAGTCTGGGGCACCTTGATGGATGGAGACTCCACCAAAGCATACAGGGGAACGAGGGACAGTGGCCTAACAGGGAGAAGCCTGCTGGCCTCATACACAGAGACTGAACGAATGTGCACACAGGCTCCAGCCTGTCACTGCCCTGTAGTTCTTGTCTCTTCCGTCCTGGATCTGTGCTCAGGCTGTCCCCTCTGCTGTGGACACCCTACCTCCACTCCTCTGCCACTCGAGTTCCTACCAGTTATGAAAGGCCCATGTGACATGCTGCCCTCAACCCCCTCCAGGCAGCCTTCTCTGCCCTATCTATCCCAGGAGGAGGAGAATGCACATAAATGCCTGGAGACAGGGCCACATCCCCAAGGACAAGCATAGTTGAGTCCTGAGAGCTTAGGAGTCTCACTGGGGGATGGACGAAGGTGAGACCAGCCTCACTTGAGTGGTCCCTCGACTTCTGCTGACTTTCAGTGTCAGGGACTTGAACTAGTCTCTCCGTTCTGGAGGCTGGAAGCCTGAGATCAAGTTGTAGACAGGGCTGGCTCATTCTGAGGGCTGGGAGGAAAGGGTCTGGTTCAGGCATTTGGCTCACAGGTAGCCTCACTGGGTTCTGTCCGTCTGTGTGTCTGTGTCCAAACTTCCTCATAGGAAGATACCAGTCATATAGGGTTGGTGTCCACTGAGGACCTCATCTTAACTCAGTTACTTCTGTGAAGACCCCAGCTCCAGTGTACTCACATTCTGAGGACTGGGGTTAGGAGATTTGAATCTGGGGGGATACCACTTAGCAAAGCTGGAGACAGGGCACTGGGCACAGAGGCAACCAAGCCACTGGCCTTGCCCAGGTCTCCAGGGTCTGCTGGAGGCAATGAGGACAGGTACAGTGTGGCTGTGGCAGGTGGATTCCTGGACGCCTGGCTCACCCCTCTATGCCCTCCTTTCAGCTCCGACACAGAGTCCAGCTACAGTGGGAACGAGGCCTCCAGCACACAGCCCCATCGGCCGCAGGCCCCACCTCGACCAAAGCCCCTCAGCCGACACATCTCCCTGAGGGAGGCCTCAACCAGAGCGGCCTCTCCACCACGCCCTGAGGAGCCCAAAGCTGTGCCTGGTGAGAAAGAGCCTGCCATGCTTGATTCTGGGACATGGGGAGGAAGCAGAGGCCCCCCCAGCCAGGTCTCCCTCACAGAGGACCAGTGACAGGAGGGCTACCCTCAGACTCAGAGGCCATGGGGCTGGAACCTCTGGGGAGTACGGGTACAGGAACCAGACTCAGGCCTGGTGTCCTCCATGACAAGTTTTGAGATCCCAACTGGGAAGACATCAGAGGGGCCTGGTGGCTGTCGTGTGTCACAGGCTGGTAGAGACAAAGAACCCCCAGGACCCTCTTGCCTGGAGGAGTCCCCCCCCCGCCCCGCCCACCGCTGCTTCCTGGTGGGCCT